GTGATTAGCCACATTCACCCCATACTTTCTTGGTGGCTGGCGCACCCGCGCTCACAGAATTTGAGGCAAATCCTCTAGTCCAACCCATGAGATACACAACGCAAATGAAGCCCACAAGCACCATGGGAAACACCATAAACCAACCAAACTTTGCCATGCAAGATCAAGGTGTCACTCCCAGACGCAGAGGTTGCACTTTGTATTAGCATGTTCAGGTTGCATCTTTCAACATATGTTTTGAAAAAAGAAAGCCCATGGAGGGGCCGTCATGTTTCAGGCGCCTGAGCAAAGATTTGGCGTGATGTTGTCATGGTAGGGCGTCCTTGACCCAAGAACCGGTTCAAATCGGTAACGCAGTACCTGTCGCTGTGCACAGGAAACTGGCGCCCTTGAGAAGCTCACTTCTGAATGATAGAAAGTGGAAGGGAGGAAAAGCAGCCTGAAAAGCTAGATTCTGGCAAAACCTAATTTGGATGGCAACATCACTGAAACGGACACGCCAAATTCTCCAAATGCACGGAAATTTCCACTCTGTTGACACGGAAAAATGCTGCGATCAGCGATCTCCCTGGTGGGCACTCCATGACCAACATCCGAGATTCCGGTCCTGGTGCGATGGCCAGGCTTCTTAGGGCTCTCCAACTACCGTGCCACTGTTCAAGCATGTGGCAGATCCCAACTCAATGAAACTGATGCGTGCATAAGTAGAACTGGCATTGAACCAGTAGCAGCATCTACCGTTCAGATCTATTCGGCCGAGTTTCTGAATGAGTGCAGGTTGACAATGAACCTGCGGCGGCATCTCGAGAGTATTCGAGCTTCCTTCTCTGCCTCCCAAGGAGCTGCACGGAGCTAAAAGCATGGCAGCACACCTTCAGACATAAACACCACCCCGGGAGACCTGAAGAACATCACAGCTTCAGGGGATTGTATCCCATAATTAGATATCCAAATATGACCCGGTCCGGGGTGGGAAAAAAAAACAATAAAATTACAAGACGCTTTTTGGATGTCCATTTTGGGCACTTTTTGGCGGATTGGTGCTGTTTTTTTGTGTTAACTTTCATAATTCCCTGTGCTTAAGGACCCCCCCTGTCCTTAAGGGTCGGGTGTGTGCGCAAAGAGGTGTTTGGAAGTCAAAACTAGATTAGACTGGGATTGGATACATCCACCATGCGAGGGTGTAGCTGCATAGCTCAAGATGACCCAGCAACTTTGGTGTGACCAGCTGAAAACGCAAACAACAACAACAACAAAATAGCATGATTTGCATGCAGAAAACTGCAAATCAATCACTGTGAGCACTATGATCACTGACAACTCTGAAACTGAATTTCATGGTGGCATACTAGACACCAAACGCCAGTGCCACCAAACAAAACGGAAACTTCTTGACGCACCATTTTTTCTTATTGTTTTTGATATTCTTATAGTTTTTTCTTTGTCTTTTTTAAAATATTTTTGATTATTTTTCTAGTGTTTTTCTATTGTTTTTAAATGTTCATTGTTATCCTCAAATATATTTGTAATTTGATTTTCATTTTTTCTCGTGTTGTTTACCATTTTCAATAGTTTGATCAATTCCCAGTGTTTTTTCAAAACAAAAATGCTTATTGTTTTTATTACTTATTAAAAAACTTTGTAATAATATGTTTATTGTCTGTTTCTAGTGGTTTCTCTATTTTTATATTTCGATTTTTTTGACTTTATTGCCTTTTTTTTCATTTTTTTAAGGGTCAGTCCTTAAATTTAGAGGGTCCAGCCCTTAAATTCAAAGGGTAAATCCTTATATTCATAGGGTCAGTCCTTAAATTCATAGGGTCAGCCCTTAAATTCAAAGGGTCAGTCCTTAAATACAAAGGGTAAATCCTTAAATTCAGAAGGTTAGTCCTTGAATAACAAAATTTCCTTTGAAAGGTGTCCTTGGGGTAAATGGGGTCCCGAGCTGCGCGCCGCGTGCGCGCGCGCGCGCCAAAAAAAGCTTCATTTAGGAGACCATTTTGGCGCGCGGCGTGTGTGCACCCAGGACCCCTTTCACTCCGAGGACCCCTTTCAAAGGAAATCTTGTTAAATTCAGAAGGTCAATCCTTATTCAGTGAGTCCAGCCCTTAAATTCAAAGGGCCAGTCCTTAAATACAAAGGGTAAATCCTTAAATTCAAAGGCCAATCCTTAAATTCAGAGGGTCAATCCTTAAATTCAGATGGTCCAGCCCTTAAATTCAAAGGGTCAGTCCTTAAATACAAAGGGTAAAGCCTTAAATTCAGAGGATCAGCCCTTAAATTCAGATGGCTAATCCTTAAATTCAAGTGGTCAGTTCTTAAATTCAGAGGGTCCAGTCCTTAAATTCAGACCGCCAATCCTTAAGTACAAATGCCCAATCCTTAAATTCCGATGGCCAGAATTTAAATTCAGATGGTCAACCCTTAAATTTTGATGGTCAATGCGTAGAATCCAACTATCCTGAAATTGAAAGGGCCCAATCCTTAAATTCAAAGGGCCTTTAGACTCTTATGATCCAATCCTTAAATTCAGAGGGTCGGACCTTAAATTCAGAGGGTCAGACCTTAAATTCAGAGGGTCAGACCTTAAATTCAGAGGGTCAGACCTTAGGTTCAGAGGGTCAGACCTTAGGTTCAGAGGGTCAGCCTTAAATTCAAAGGGTCCCTCTGTACTTAAGGAATTTTGGCATCACCTTTGGGTAAAAAACGGCCAAAAACAAATGATTTGTATGCAAAAGTGATGCCAAAATTGCCAAGTTGGCCTAATTTGGCATACGTTTTTCACCAAAAACTTTGATTTTTGATTGTTTTTTTATCAAAAAGTGATGCCAAAATTCCTTAAGTACAGAGGGACCCTCTGAATTTAAGGCTGACCCTCTGAATTTAAGGTCTGACCCTCTGAATTTAAGGTCTGACCCTCTGAATTTAAGGTCTGACCCTCTGAATTTAAGGTCTGACCCTCTGAATTTAAGGTCTGACCCTCTGAATTTAAGGTCTGGCCCTCTGAATTTAAGGTCTGATCCTCTGAATTTAAGGACTGGCCCTCGGAATTTAAGGATCGACCCTGTGAGCTTAAGATTTTGCAGCAGGACTTGTAACAAAGTGCTTGTCACTTTTGAAGGGCAAACTAATGATTTAACAACCACCCTACACAATAGTTTTGGTTGCAGTCAGCAGCAAGAAACAGTTACCCAATCACGGCAGCACATTGACAGAATCTGACCATTGTTTCTGGTAGGTTCTCATGTCTGTGCTTTCAGGTTCACGCGCAGGCCAATCTAATCATCTCCTAGCAAGACTTTTGTCAACTCCGACTCTGTCAGAGCCAACCACGACCCATTAAAATCCCGTGGGTGGAAATGTTGGTTTGTGTTTCAAATCAACCCGCCAATTTTCCCTTAAATGTGGCGATTGCTAGACCGATTTGCCAATTATGTCGGGCTGAACAGCATATTCATGGTAATAGATTTTATTTTATTTGTTACCCAATAATGGTAGCAATGCCATATTCGATAATTTTCAGAGAAATATCAACATCCAATACTCACCGCCAGCGCATGATTGAATCGTACTTTCTGCCATCAATTCGATCCATTTCCGACCTGAATTGGAAGAATCGAGTTGGAGGGAACCCAGGATGAGGACGATGATGATGATGATGATGACGATGATAATGATGATGTTGATTATGGTTATGATGTTGATGATGATGATGATGATGATGATGATGATGATGATGATGATAGTGATGATGATGATGATGATGATGACGATGATAATGATGATGTTGATGACGATTATGATGTTGATGATGATGATGGTGATGATGATGATGATGATGATGTTGATGATGATTATGATGTTGATTGCGATGATGATGATGATGATGATGATGATGATGATGATGATGATGATGATGATGATGATGCCGCTGCCGCTGCCGCTGCCGCTGCCGCTGCCGCTGCCGCCGCCGCCGCCGCCACCGCCGATGATGATGATGATGATGATGATAATGATAATGATGAAGTTGATGATGATTATGATGTTGGTTATGATCATCATCCACAATCCTACTGCTGCCTGGGGAGGGGAAAAAACGCACTGACAGGCTGACAGGTCTTGCATTTGTTTGAGATCATACTGGGCATTGAACAAAAGCAATGGTTTGTTTGGATTCTGTTTAACATGTGACAGTCTGTTACAGAAATTCAAATCAATTAGATTCTTTCGTGCCGCCACATGTTTGGCATGTTTGGATCATTTTTTCTTTGGAAAATAAATGATGGTCCTTATTATGTTGATGCACAAATTTTCTATATAGCAAGGAATGCGATTTAAACAGAGACACAATATCGCACATTGAAAACATGCTTAGGGACATGGCCTCAACCTTAAATTCGAGGGGTGCCCCCGAATTACGAAAGTTAGCATTTTTTTGGCGCTTGCCAAAAGCCAAAGCACTGTAATTTACAATGTTTTTGTGGGAGACAAATGACTTGCTATAAGGGGTTACAAATGAATTCGATACATCGGGAGAGCCGGACACCACCAGCCACACTGGGAGACAATTATTTGGAGACACTCGGAGAGCTGGACACCACCAGCGAAACTGGGAGACAATGGGCTGCTTTATTGAAGGGGAGACACATGAATTGGAGACATCCGGAGAGCCGGACACCACAAGCCAGACTGGGAAATAAATGAATTGCTATAAGGGGAGGGAAATGAATTGGAGACATCGGGAGAGCCGGACACCACCAGCCAGACTGGGAAACAAATGAATAATGAATTGCTACAAGGGGAGACACATGAATTTCAGACACCTATTAGAGAGCCGGACACCACCACCTGGACATTGCCGGACACCTATTTAAGAAAGAATTGAGGACCCTAACAAGAAAGTGCTTGGGGCAAAAAAAGAGAGATCTGTTCAAACACATTGGGGAAACATGAGCTTGTGACGGAGACCTTCTTCAAAAAAGCGAAAGTTGACGATGTAAAAACGATGCTTTCGTGCGAGACTTCCCGCAGGGAGTGAAAGTTGAAAATGTGAAAACGAAGATGTCGTGCGGGACTTTCCTCAAAAAGTGAAAAGTTGAAGATGTGAAACCGAACTTTTCGCGCGAGGCATCCTTCAAAATCTGAAAGTGGAAAATGTGAAAACGAACCTATCCCGCGAGACTCCCTTCAAAAAGTGAAAAGTTGAAGATGTGAAACCGAAGCTTTCGTTCCAGACTTACCTCAAAGAATGACAATTAAAGATGTGCAAACGAAGCTTTCCTTCTTTCCTGTGAAACTTCTTTGCCATGAGACTTCTTATTTGTGAGACTTCTTTGCTGTGAGATCTATTTGCTTTGAGATCGCTGTGAGACTTCTTTGCTGTGAGACTTCTCTGCTGTGAGACTTCTTTGCTGTGAGATCTCTTTGCTGTGAGACTTCTTTGCTGTGAGACTTCTGTGCTGTGACATCTTTTTGCTGTGGGACTTCAATGACTTTCAAAAATCTGTAACATGGAAGTTAGACTTCCAAACTCCCTTTCACAATCGCAATCACAGAGGCGCGGACTACAGTGGCCTCCATAGTGCCATTCGACCAAACGGCCGGTGGCTCTGGAGAGGGGGGGCCAGAGGGCCTCACACAAGTACCACGTGGTGACTCTGCCGTGACCGGGTATAGAGCAACATACTTCGTACCTGTAAGAAATAATTTCAGGGGGATTGGTGTTTCTTGCAGCAGCAACCAGTGGTAACCAATCGATTTTCTCATAACTGTATTTTCAGACAGGCCCAGCACCGTCGAGCACCGACGGAATTGATCCACACGCCCCTGGACGCCGCATGCAAACGTGTTCCATATCGTCCC